TTTAATTAATGATGTGAATGGTTCCTACTCTAGGTGTGCCTGGAGAACCGTGCACTTGAGGATATTGTTGGAGCATACGTATTATTATTGGAGTGTGGGCTTGTACTAAGCTCCCTAAGGTAAGCTCCTAGTTCTAGTTGACTCCTCTCTCTTGTGGCCCCACCATGCTGGTGGGCATTATGGTTGTATTGTATGAGAGTGTATGGTGTGATGTATATGTGCATTCGTTCACATTCATATAGATGTTATATGATCTTGATGTTATGATGATGCACTGATGATATATGTTATGAGGATCCTGACTAGTGATCATGGTATGTAGGCTGCGTATGACTTGACTCTGGGAGCTATTTCATACTGAGGTTGAGTTGACTGTCTATTGCTTGACCCTGGAAGTCACACATGTGTAACCATTTATGGCTTTGACCCTGGGGTTACACAATGATGATATGATGATGTTATGTTTATGTTGTATGTCTGTATTATATGCTTTATATCTGACTTGTCATGCAGGAAGTGGGCACAGGGGTTAGAGGATCCTCTATGAACCTTGAGCTTACAGAGATGTGGTTATCTCACTCCGTTTGGGGACATCATTTCAGGTACCCAGAGTAGTGGTGATGCTTCTAGGGACAAGGTCCCCGCATTGAAGTAGTTGATGATGCAGCTGATGATTTTATATTATGTTTAGATTTGATGTTGGTATGTAGACTTGTTAACATGCTTAATTATTTTATGGAGATTATTTAGGCTCATGATTGTATTCTTAGAGCCATGGATTATTTACTGATGCTTTTATACTTTGAATTAATATAGACTTGATGCATGTATTCAGTTAATTTGGGCATGGAGCCTTATTATTTGTATGTGACCCATTGAGGGGATTGCAGTTCGTGTGGGATTTGCAAGCTATCTGTTTAAATTATTGTATCAATTAGGTGATCTGTATGTGTGGGACTATGTTCCCAATTATCCGAAATACAATCGTTATGCTGTCCGTGAGACTCCGTCAGGAATGACACTTGATGTCATATCTTGATGGTAAATGGCCACTAATACTGGCTCATGAGATTAATTAGTAGATGTATGTTTAGATTCACGCTTTCGCAGTATCTCACGTGAACGTTTTTAGAAATGTTTTCAGAAAAGATTTTGGAAAAAGTTTACTCGTATTTTTGTAAAACGCTTTATTATTTTTTTAAAATAAAGTCTTCCGTTGTGTATGCTAAATATCATGCATGTTAACAACCGAAGTACTACGGGGTGTTACAAGTTCAAACCCCCAGTGGCCGATATGAGTACTTTGTTGATGAGTAATATGTATTCCTCCCCAAAAATTCTTAAAGAGATTGAAGGTCTTTGTTAACCCTAGGGAGATACCGTTATCTAATTTCACTTAAATTTTTTACTACAAAAAAAAATTTCAAAATAAAATAAAATATAGATTTTATAATTTTTGAAATTGTTTAACTTACAGTTCAGTTATAGAAGATTTGATCCAGCCCAATAATTTTTTTCCCAGTTGAGTGTATTTTATAAGTCGAAGGTGAATTCATATTATATATTTAACTTTTTATTAATTTTTAATTTAGTTCATTATTATTGTTATTTTATCCCTATATTAATGTTAAGGATGATTACAAGGACAAAAACAATGCTACCTCAACATTAGCTTTTCATTATTATCAAGATGAAAAGCGGTGACTATTTTAGTTCACTGGGATCAGTTCTGTGACAAGGGATGTGGATAGTTATATACTTATATTAGGTAATATGTGTTCTAGTCCTTCGTCGTATCAAAAAAAAGAAAGAAAAGCGGTGACTATTTTACGAATGATTGTAACTATACGAACTAATTAATCTGCAAAGAAAGAATGCGTAAACTATATAGACCAAGAATATACTTTAACCAATGAAAAAGCACAAAGAAACATGTCACACATTCAGTGAATGCCAATAACTTGTAGTTTAATAAATTAGCAAGTTTTTGATGCTGACTTTGGAACTAAGTCACTTTCTCATTCTTCTACAGTTCTACCATGGCATTTGTATATAGAAAAAATATTTATCCTTTTAAATGACATAATTTATATTCTTTCACTTTTATAAAGAGGTGAGACTCACATCTTTATTTTTTTGTCAACTCTCTCTCCTCCTTTATCTATCTCTTTCTCTCTTAAAATAACACAACTTTATATTCTTTAAAATGACACACGCTTTACCCTTTGCATATATTGTATAACGAAAATGAAAACTCATGAAAAGTTTTGTTAAAGGGTGTCAGAAAGACATTACTGAAGCAATAAAAAATAAAATATTAAATTAAATTAAAACTCCATACTTAAGACCAGTGATAGCGAAACAATTAAAACAAAAAGTTGTCTCATAACTAAGTTATTTAATAATTATTTCGTCATTTTTCAGATCGTTTGGTAATTTTTTTTGACTACTAGATATGAAATATAAATTTAAGTTTTTCAACATATTAATTGTGTAAAAATTATGAGAGGATTTTATTTTTTGAAGTATTGAGAGAGAATTTTTTTTATTCTAATGTAAAAATAAGAAATTTTATTCTTCATCTCAACCATTAAATTTTATAAATTTGATGATCGTAGTTTATTAATTTATATTTATTAATTAATTATTAATTTTAAATAAACTACAATTATCATATGAATAAAAATTGACGATTGAAATAAGAACTAAATTTTTTTAATGTTTATTTGGAATCAAAAGATTCTTACCATAAATTATATAGTGTTTCATTGTATTACAGTGGAATAGAATATAATTTAGGTCCAAGTTATATTTACAAATTTTTTTGTTTATAAATTTTTACAAACTATACTATGTAGGACCGGTCCTACATTAATCACACAGTGTACGACCGGTCTTACATTAGTGTAATTGTAAAAAAAATTGTAAACGGATACTGTCTCTATAGTTTATTATTATTTTTATTACATTTGGTTTATTTTAAAAATAGAATAGAATAGAATATGATATAAATTTAAAAAAATGTTTTATTTAAAAGATAAGAAGTAAAAGATTTCATTTTATTCTAGTAGGGTCCATTCAGGTAAAAGGCGCACTCGTTCCTCGTTGCTTCCTCTGTTCGCTTCGGATCCGCAATGATGACGTGGGGACATAGCAGCACTTTCGCTCTCTCTTCAACTTTCAATCAGGTAACGGCTTCATCACTCCATACATACCATAGTATAAACCCCTTTCCATTGTTTTTCTATTTTATTTTATTTTTTGGAGATACCTTTTCATTGTTTTCAACACTACTGTCGGGGCTTTGTCATATGAACCATTTAATTTTCTCTCGCTTTAGTTAATGATCGTTACCTTCAGTTTTTTATTTTTGGAAAAAGTTTTGTGGATAACGCGTATCCCACTGGCAGTGATCTGGCATCACTTCCTTAATTTCTCCATCTTGATTCTAGAGCCTTCTATTTTTATTTTATTACTATTATTTCTTTTAAATATTACGTTCGAAATATTTTAATTAATTATATGTGTTTTATAATATCAAATTATGTGGCACTTTCAAAGTACTTTGCTCAAATGTCTTACAAATTATAATACATTTGCTATTTTATAAAACACTTTTAAAAATTAATTAATTATAGTGATTTTTTTTTCAAGTCTTAAGTAACCGTAATAAAAATGTCTATAGGAAAGTAGTGGTGGGGTGAGGAGGAGTTAAAGTAGGTGGGTCGGTCATATGATCCTTTAGTTGTGAGTTATATTTTAGACAAAATTTTCTTATCAAGTGTAAAATTATTTTTAAAAAAAAGTAGCTTAATTTGACTTATTTAGAAATTATATTTTCTTAGATTCTGTCACGTACGTGTTATTTTTATATGTACACGTTTCATAATTCACTCAATTTTTATTTTATAGCCTTCTAAATGAAATTTTTTCCTTAAATAAACTAAAATTTTCATATTCTAACAAATAAGTTATTGGATTTATAAATTTTCAAAAAAATGAGTTTTGTAATATATAAACTCAATTTTCGAATTTTATGATTTGGTTTTCCAAATATATTTGAATAGAATGCCACTTTATTCTATTTTATTTGGTGGTTAGAACCTAGAAAGTATTGATACACAATTTTCTTTTGAAAAATGTTTATCCAACATCGATATACTTTTCCGATACATAATTAATATTTTAGGATATGCGGTTAATCCTCTGACTCACATTTTCAACACCTGATCAAATTATTATTTTTAGATCTAAATTTTATTTTATTAATTAAATATAAAAATAATGATTTACAAATAATTTTTTCCGTTACAGAATTTGATATGAAAAAGTAATATCATACGAAAAATTATTTTTATTATATAATTTAAATATTTGATTGATTATATAATTTATTATAAACTGTTATATGTATTAAATATAAATTATATTAAAAATATTATTTGATATTAAAATATGTCATAATGTATCCAATATGACAATTTTTTAAAATTAATATCTTAATATATTATATCATATCCCAACTTACAATTTTGAATGCCACCTTACTCTTTTTTCTTCAGTTTTGTAATTTTTTCGTACAAATACATCATTTTTCTCTTTCAACTTCATGTATAATTTTTTTTTTTTGAAAGTATGGTATAATTTTTTTTAGGAAAATGTGAAAAAGTAGAAAATGGTAAAAAAAGGAAAGGAAAGAAAAGAAAAGAAATGAGAATTCAATGCGGAGGTGTGAACGCGCAAATGACATGGTCAAACTGGCGCAATGGCAACGTTAAAGACACCGATACCTGTTGGACAGGCGGGCACGTGTCGCTGACTAACAGAGAACGGGGCGCGTGTCTATCTCTCATTGGTTCGTTCCTTAATAGAGTCGAAGCTGTCATGAGTAATGACAAAGGATTCTGCGGAAACTAACCTGTGGTTACGGCGTTACAATTTGGAATCCATTTCGTGATTAACAGTGAAAATCAAAGTGGCCGGCTGCTATAAAACGGAGTGAAAGTTGGAAAGACAAAGCCAAGAGTGAACGAGAGATACTCACTAAACAAAAACTTGTCTTCCCCACTTTCTTTTTTCTTGTGTGGTTCTCCTTCCTTCTTCATCGTCTTTCTCGAATCTTCTGTTACTTTTCCCTCCCTTCTCTAACTCCCCGCTTCTCTGAATCCCTTTCTGTTAATTATCTGTCTTTCAAGTTTTAATTTTTTGGGTTTGTCTCTAATCTCACAAAGAATCAAACTTCAAAGGATTTCTCGAAAGCCAGGTGTTTTCAGAATCGAGATCCAGGTTTTTCAGTTTATAAAATTTGTTTTTTTTTTTTTTTGGTTTTTCTCATCTTTCAATCGGCCAAGAGGGTTGTTTTTGATCCCTCAAAGCTTTGTTTTTTTCTTCTTCTTCTTCTGGGATTAAAGGGGTTGTGTATTTTAAACCTCTTCCACCTTTTTCTTCAAAAAAGACTTTTTTTGTTTTGTTTCCTTTGTTGGGTTTTGAATTTTTTCAGGTTTAGAAGGACACAGGTTGATGGCAGCTACAATGGATTTGTACAGCACACCACAACTTCAGTCAGATCCCTTCAGAGATGAGTTAATGGAAGTTCTAGAATCTTTTATGAAGAGTTCTTCCACAACTCCCTCTGCATCCTCATCCCCTTCTTCAAATTCATATCTACCTTCTACTTCTAATTCTTCTATTTCTTACTCTCCTTCTCCTCCTTCTCCTTCTCCTTCCCCTTCCCCTTCCTACTTCACTTCCTCCCCTTCACTCCCTCCTACACAGCCCAATTTCTACACAGATGGTTGCTCAACAACGATGACCCACCTATTTGCCTCTGGGTTATCCAACAGCCAAAACTTTATTGGCTTTGAGCAACCAAGCTCTCTCCTTGGGCTCAACAACCTTACCCCATCTCAGATTAACCAGATCCAAACCCAGATCCACCTCCAGAGCCAGCATCACAATAACAACAACAACCACCTCAGCTTCCTCAGTCCCAAACCTGTCCCCATGAAGCAAGTGGGTGGTGCACCTCCCAAACCCACTAAGCTCTACAGAGGGGTAAGGCAAAGGCATTGGGGGAAATGGGTCGCTGAGATCAGACTCCCAAAGAACCGTACAAGACTCTGGCTTGGTACCTTTGACACTGCTGAAGAAGCTGCTTTGGCTTATGACAAAGCTGCGTACAGGCTCAGAGGGGACTTTGCAAGGCTCAACTTTCCGAACCTAAGGCACCAAGGTTCATGTGTTGGTGGTGCGTTCGGTGAGTACAAGCCTCTTCAGTCCTCCGTTGATGCAAAGCTTGATGCTATCTGTGAGAGCTTGGCTGATATGCAGAAACAAGGGAAGCAAGAGAAGGCTGTGAGGTCATCTAAGAAGTCTAAACTGGCTTCAAAGGAGGCTCAGCCAAAGTTGGAGAACCCTTGCAAGGTGGAACCCTCTTTGTCTCCGGTTATGACCGAGAGTGATGGTTCTGCAGGTTCTTCTCCTTTGTCTGATCTTACATTTGGTGATGTCACTGAGCCACAATGGGAAGCTGCTTCAGAACATTTTAATCTGCAGAAGTTCCCTTCTTATGAGATTGATTGGGATTCTCTGTGAAGCCAAATTTGGTAGTCCTATAGTTTGTACGTAGCTGGTTTACTTGTGACGAGTCTCATGCGTAATAATTTAGTATATTGGTAGGTTCTAGAGTGTCTTTCTAGTTGTCACTGCAATTGAGTTTTTGAAAATTGCAGTGCTACTTGTAGGATTTGGACAATTGCGTTTATGATAGGTTATTTTTTTTATTTTTTTTAGTTTGGGGTCAATTTGCATATTGATTACTGTCAATATGTTGTAAATTTGTCTTCCTTTGGTCAGCTGGTTTTTTTCTTGCTTGGCCAGGGAGAATGACTCCGGTTTAAGTTGTTATTTATGTTTTGGTGTTCATGAAAGTATATTATTATTGCTGTAATTCAATTCTATTAGTATTTCAACTCATGAGTATATTGTACTAGTTTGTGTTTGGTGGACCTATTGTATTGGTGTATCAAATGATTCAAAAAATAGATGTTATTTGGTTCTGGGAATCATCAATTGTACTCCACCGACCTTAACAAATGTGCTGTTGCTTGTGTGCTTTTGTAATTACTATGACTTTAACGTCTGTATGCTATATTCATGTGAGAACAAACCATTTTCTCAAGACTGATCAGTATATTATATTCATGCGAGAACAACCCTGATGCACTTAAGTCGCCATAAATTAGTATAATTGCAGATGTTTCAGTTTTAAAGTTTTTTATGGATTTTAATAATTGCAGACGTTTCAGTTTGCATGACTTTATGTTTTGTTTATGGTTATTTTCGTTTTGTATCAGTTTTTAAGACCATTGATGGTCCTTTGTTGTCAGTTACTTTTTGTATTGCCTTTAAAAGGCTGGTTGGAAGGATGTGAAGGAAGACTTTTTGATGATTGAAGAATGATAATATAGCAGAAAACTTATGCATTTTCCTGAAAGCCTACTTTCCATATAATTTTGCATCATTTGGTATCAGAGCTCAGGTTGCCTTAAAGATGGCTGAGCAGGAAAATCCCGGAGGTCATGGTCGTGGACGAAGAGGTCGTTGCGGCAGACGCGGTCAACCTACCGATGGTGATTATTATCCTGATGCGAGAGATGCTGAAATTGAGGAAAAGGACAGACGGATCCAAGAACTCGAACAACTGCTTGCAGATGCACAGTTGCATGAGTCAGATGAAGGATGAGAATCTGAAAGATCATCTCATGAGGAGGAAAGGAGATTCTGGAACCGGAACCAGGAGCGACGAAGACGAAGTCAACCTGGAAATCAATCCTTTTTTGCTAATATTGAGGTGATGATTGAGATCCCGGAATTCGAAGGCACCCCTCATCCAGATGAGTTTATCGACGAGTCACACATCGTCGAAAAGGTCTTTGACATCATAGACTTGACAAAAGACCAGAAGGTCCCAATCTATGATGAATATGATGAAGAGCAAGATGATGAGAATCCTGTTATGGATGCTCCAATTTATGACAAGTTCCCTATCTATGATAAGTATGATTGGGAGCAAGACGACGAGAAACCAGAGGTGAAAGAAATCTCTTGTAGTGATTCCGATGGGAAGTCAATTATTAGAAATTCTAATATCTTTGACAAAGATGAAGTTCTACCCAAAGATATCATGCAGAATGATCCTTCATCCAAAAAGTCTTTAGTTTGCAAGCAGTATTATGAATTTGGGGACAATGAGCATAACAACCTTATGCTCCATGGAGATAAAGATTTAGATTTTGGTAAAAGTTTAATTGGAGATTGTCAAAGGCAATGGGACTTGCTGGTACATCAAACAAAGTTTTCGTATGACGGATCACAGATGCGATCATTGATCCAAACTACAAATGAATATACCAAGCATGTCAAAAAATTGCATTTCCAAGTCCTAATCTTAATTAGGAAATTTGCTGATATTGTACCAGAAGAGTTGCCGCCTGGATTACCACCTGAAGACGTTGCAGATTTGAGGGCGAATCTTTTCCTAGTGGGAGAGGATGCACTTAAGTCGCCATAAATTATTATAATTGCAGATGTTTCAGTTTTAAAGTTTTTTATGGATTTTAATAATTGCAGACGTTTCAGTTTGCATGACTTTATGTTTTGTTTATGGTTATTTCCGTTTTGTATCAGTTTTTAAGACCATTGATGGTCCTTTGTTGTCAGTTACTTTTTGTATTGCCTTTAAAAGGCTGGTTAGAAGGATGTGAAGGAAGACTTTTTGATGATTGAAGAATGATAATATAGCAAAAAACTTCTGTATTTTCCTGAAAGCCTACTTTCCATATAATTTTGCATCAAAACCATTTTAACAGGATGGATCATATTATCTTTGATGTTAGTTCTTGCAGCTAGCTTTAGCATTAGCTGATCATCAGAGGTCCTAGCTAAATTATTGAAAGAAATAATATAAAATGTGTATCTGAATCATGATTTATGTTCGGATTAACTACTGTAAATCAAATCCTTCACATTAGATTAGCTTTTGGGACGTCCAATTTGGCTAAGGAAGAAAGAAACATACTCTATTGAGATCAAGAATTCTTGTTTAGACTTAGCTGTAAACTTTTGGTTCATGTTTCTGATTTTCACTAGCTCTACCTTATAGAAATGTTATTTCATTTTCTTTTTTTGCCTCAACTTCTCTTGGAAGTTGGAAATTTGAAATACGCAAAATGTTCCCAACGAAGTACAATATGCTTTTGCTTGGGAATCTAATCACGTACTTACTCCATTCAGTGAACCTTGCCCTTTTTTTTTTTTTTTCGGAAGTTAATTCTCGTGAACCTTGCGCTTTGGATAGAGACAAGCTCTCCCAATGATCAAGAACTTTGTCCTTGTGGTCACAAAGTTATACACAAAACGTTGAAAAAAGAGAGGCTTTCACATGATCACATCTTCCCATAACCAGTAACAACCGAATTTTTTTTATTTTGTCCGTTTTCTCGACCAATATTATCGTTTTCTGGATTATAATTCTTAATTAGTGAACGATATTTATTTTGTCCAACGTAAATTTCATTAACGGGAGGTTTATCTGATTAAATCAATACTTCTGCCTGTGAGAACTCAAACAATATCATATAACCAAATCATATTGTACAATTCATCTCCGTCCAAAAAAATTATATAAACCTATTAATCAGTTATCGTTTTTTTTTTCAGCTCCAACATCTTAATATACTCAACTTTTTAAAATTCTCACTAGACAAAGTAAGACTCTAGCACATGCAGTCATGCACATGAGCAACGATGACTAGTATTGAATATCTTTACTGTCAGATATTTTAGTTTTGATGATGAGATTTTAATTGATTAAGCATGCCATAATGTGTTTGTATTTCCTTGATTATGTTTGAACAAGTCGAGCTGATTGAGAAGTTATATTTTAGCGAGTGGTTAGTAATTAGAAAATCTTACGGGGTTTATTCTTTGAAATTCACATCCCTTTACAAGGTTAAAGGAATTTGGAGCTTGGTGAATATTTAACACATGACTCTTGAATATTTTAGCCTACTTAATTGTTGATTGATCGATTAACCATTTGCTTAATAAGGTACAGATTTAAATTAACTTAATTATGGCTCTTTGATTGTGTTTGATTAAGGAAATAATACGCTTAGAGGTGATTGTTAGGTGGATGCTAGCACTTAGATGAAGAAACTTTGGATTTTAAATAGAAAAGGTGTTGGAGCTATTTTCATACAAGAAACCAGAGAAAAAAGATCAATTAGATTGAGCAACTAGCGGTAGTTAGCAAGCATTAGAGAATACAGTACCAATTACTGCACCTAAAGGCGCACAACTGAGCCGAAAGGGATAACTTAATATTTGCATGCGATTCATATGTCAAGTTTGAAAGATATATTCTCTTGGCTCCGGTCATTCAACGGAGTGCGAACGAAAACATTTGAGCAAAAGTCAAAGCAAACATTTCCAACTACAAAATGAGTGCCAAGTGCGAACGACGCTTTGGATCAAACTAGTACTTAGGTGAAGAACATTTGCAATTGAGCTTCATATCTATAGAATTCTTTGTACTTCATCATCTTAGTGCTTCATATACTTGCTTATATTCTGTGCTTTGTGGGTTTTTATGAATAACTGTAGCTCATCCATATGAGAGCATTCGATAGTGAGACTGGAGGAAGCATTTAGAGATTTCTTTGGTTAGGGTACTATATTTTGAGTAGAGATAAAGGAAATTCCATTATGGTGTTGTTGGAAGACACAATTCCACTGAATACTCCGCTTTAAGGTTAAGGCAGATAAAGTTTGGGTTAATTTCCATCGAAGAAAAAACATTACAAAATTAAAGAAAATATCAAGCAATTGCTTAGAGGCTGAATGTTTAATGAGTTTGATATTTCTCATATTATATAAGAGATAAAATTATTTTTTACATATACATAAAAATGTGTAAAATCCATGTGAACTCGTATAAAAAGAAGAGGGAGAAAAAATAAATATAAATTTTATATATTTTTAGTGTGTATAAAAAATCTTATTTTATTTTTTATAATATGAAAGTCATTATACTAGTAAAAATATAAATTATATTTTCTCATTAATATTATTTATATAAAATCATACTATAAATACTTTTACATATATTCAATAATTATAACTATTATATCTTAAATATATTTAACTACCATTTATAAATTCATAAATAATAAATTATTAAAAAATTAATAATTAATTACATATTTTTATTTAAATTTTTTAAGAAAATCAGTTTTTCTTCCAAAGGAAAAAAAATCCCGAGAAGTCTTTTAGACGGAAAAATATATATTTTGAAAAATAATGTGGGAGGTTTAATATTTGGAAAACTAAAAATAAATTTACTATTTCTCCTACATGTCATAAAATTATTTTATGTAACCCAAAACGCAGGAAATTTGAAATTATAAGAGATAAATTTATCACTTATAACAGAAGAAACATTTTTCCTATTTAAAAAAATATAAAATAAATACGCAAAAAAGCCAATAAAACCACAAACGCACGGAACTAAAAGTTCTTCAAATTCAAGCAGAAAATAACATAAAGCTGGAGAGTTATTTTATATTATAGTTGTTGATGCTTCTGGAAGGGAGTTCTGCGTGTCCGGGGCTATAAATGAAATCCCGTCTACTTTCCAGAAAGTATGTTAACATTCACATCATCAGAGCTGTTTAAGAAAAGATATGAATCATGGCAAAGTGGCATTTGTTGCACATGATATTGGATCTAGCATTTCAACCTTCATTGATGACAAGATCTAAGGGAAAAATCCTTTCGTTGAAATTGACAGAACTCAGGGAAACCCAAGGGGAATTTCTTTCAATAGTTGATCTTCTCTTGAATATATTATCTCTGGAGAGCCATTCACTGGAAAGTACTCCAATAACGCTAAGGCATGCGCCAACAGAACAAGTATCAGCTAAATTTCCCAAGTTCCATCTTCTTCTTGATAGCCCTTTGACCATGATAGATAAATGAATCTAGTATTCCAGAAACAGTGAAAACACCTGTATGCAACAAACAGCAAGCATGGTTGTGTCAAAATTCACACAAATGAAATGATACTTGTCTCATTAACTTACTGATGCCTATTATGTAAAACTGAAGAGGAATAGTGGAAGATCCATATTTACCTCCAACAATGGCACACACATTAGTAAGAAAATGTAAGAATGAGATATGTTCTTCAGTAAAAGTAACCTGCAATATGCAAATCCAGTATAATACAATGATCAAAGAGCATGAAAGAGAATGAGAACAAGAGAGGGAAAAAGACCTTATTGAAAAAAACACTAAGAAAAGCCTAGTTGCAATTATTGATTATGATAGTCCATATTTGAACACCAGTTGAATAGCTATAATAATTATTAAAAAAAAAAAAACCTTAATTGGAGAAAGGTCATAGAAGAAGAAAACTCCAGGGAGGGACTGAAGACGGCCTACATCTGCAGTCCTGAAGTGTTCTGTCACGGAGAACTGCAAAAACATTTCCAGTTTGTATTATGTTTTGCTTGTCAGAAAGCAAAAGAAATGTCAAAAGTGGCATTTATAAGTTCAAAAACCTGGTTTGACTGGATGGTATGTCCACTCACATCAGTGTACACAGTAGGCACAACCTGAAACAACAATTGATAACAATTGATAACAAGTTTTGAAGCAGAATAGTTTTGCAGGTACAATATTCCACATATCTTGCATAGCAAAGTACCCATTCGAGTACCCTTTTAAAGACACACATCCTAAAGACAACATAACACAAAAAAAAGAAAAACTGTGCATTGCACAGCATGTGTAACATCTTCCTGATGCAACCAAAGTATTCAACAGGGAAAGCCACCCTTAACCAAAGTATTAAAAAGCTTTGAGGTTAGAGGAACCCAAAGGCTCACGCCTCACCAAAAAAAAAAAAAAGAATTCTTGCTACCCCACATCCCTGCCTCCTCTCTTTTACAACATTACTCATTGCTGCCATTAGTACTGTGAAAGTAAGAAGGAAAACTTAATAAAAACTTCATCGAGATTTTTATGGTAAATTTTTTTAAAAATTCAGCTTGTCAAAAAAAGCTGTTAAACACGTATACACGTATACAACTTGCCACATAAAACAGAAAGCATATAAAATATAAATGGATAGAATGCAAAATGAATAAAGCTATTAAAGTGTTCTCCTTGACAAAGCATTTGTCAGCAAATGCAACAAAAACAGTCTGCAGAAAGTAATCAGAAAACAACTCCACTAAGAAAATGAATATAAAGCAGACAAATATAGCTACAAACAAGTGACATGGAATTGAAAATAGAAAACAAATACAGGAGCAAAGAAAATAAACCAGACCAACGGAGTAGTTCTGCTCTAATACCAGAGTAATGACTAAAATAGAGCATGCCTGTTGCTGGTGCAAACATAATAGTTTAAATAAAGAAGGACAAAGTGCCAAATCATATAAAGAAGTGTAGAAGAACAAGTGAAAAATAAATGAATAAAAAAATTAACTGTTCGCTTTGAAGGTGGCAAAATTTAGCTTGGCGGTGGTTGATGTTTCATAGCACCAGATTACATAACTACAATTGTTTTATATGAACGCTGACAATTTTTATGGGCTGTAGTCTGTCAAACCCACTGCCCATTAGTCAGGCACTCGCATGCAGCACCTCTGCATTGAGGAAAAAGCATCATCAAGGCATGAGAAGTATGCATAGTTGCACACAATGATGTGGTAGAGCCTCAAAGAGCAAGAAGCACTGGACCCTTCCCTTTCCTCAACTAAGAGCCTAAGGCACACCTTGTAGCAACTCTAACTTCAACGGATGTAACCAAAAATGAGAAAAAGATAAATTACATCAACTTCCCTTATAATTTTGGGAATTATAGCAGCCTCCCTAACTTTGAAATTTTACCAGACATAACCCATGCATTTTTATTTTACAGAAACACATCATGTCACACACCCCCCATCAGCACAATTTCATATAGTGAAAAATATACAAAGAAGGGAGTAAGCATAATTTCAAAAACTAGAGGACAGGTTAAGTTAATTTCATCAAACATTGGAAGGTATATGTCCTTGACTTTGTCCAAAAAGCATGAAAAAATTATAGTTTATCACTATCACATATACACTAAACAGACATTATTATGATACTAACTTTTCATAAAAGAGATAAAAAATAGTGAAATAGACAAATGCTAGTAAAAAGTCATGATTTAGCCTATATATACACAGTTACAATCCCCTATCACAGATATGCTTATTTTCCCAAAATTGAGATAATGACCCACCATTGGTTATTTGAGAATATTACAGGAAACTTTGGTGAATGCAATCAAATTCAAACTAGAGATATCTTACATTGCAGTAAATGCAAAGATTCAAAATTGCATAAATGCAGGGCTGTTTAAACAAGAACATTTGACATATCTCAAAGTCATTATGTGAAAATGATCAAAAGTTTCACCACTAACATCTAGTCACGCGTCAAACCAGATATACCCACGGCCCACCAATATATCACAGTATCAAAATTGACATTCACAATTCTAATTTTGACTTTTGATTAATATAGCTCATAAATTCAGATCAAAATCGTACACCAATTCCAATAGAAGCAAGCAGCATTATCAAGTTAATTAAAGAGTGATTTAACCCATAAATATTAAAATTTGAAAATTACATCTATGCATAATAAAACTTAGTATTGGTAATACACAGTACGCAGAGATCTGGAATACTAACCTTAATAAAATACTGATACATCCCACTTGGTGTTTCTTGTGTCCAATGCACACTGATAATGAAGAAAGTGTCAAAACGTATCTAAATAAAATATTCAAGTTTGATAAATTGTTCATCTGAGGCTAAGAGAGTATAAGGAGCTCACCGGTCAAGAGGATTCACAACACCAGGGAAATACTCACCGAAAGTTAATCTGTTGATGTGGTGACTTAACTGTATTACATGTTATAGACAAGTTAGTGGCTTGAAATACGAAGAATGATAAAAGATATTTCTTGGGAAAAATAATAGAGTATTATATTACTACCTTTCTATTGATATTTCATAAAAGCTATAAATTATTAGCAGTAAAAATTGCAATTAAAATTCACCAAAGTGAATACAAAGTGACAGGTCATATCTTACATTAAAAGATTCCTTTTGAAAAGCCAGCAGGTCATGTACATGTACACCAGATTGCTGAAAGCTTTTCCCAGGAGCAAAATGGAAATTCCCCGCCACCTTATTTACTTCCAAGAAACCATATACATTGCATCCTTCACCTTCCTCATCCTTGATTCTTTGTAAGAATCCTTCTCTTTTGCACTAAGTGATGCAAATCATACACCAAATAGGCACCGGATTAAGTTAACAATATGACTTTGACAGAAGAGTTATTTAAATAGATGAGAAAGGGGATAAGCCCACTCATTGTTGAAGGTAACAAGATACAGCTAAGTGAAATATGACAAGATATTCATGCTAAATATTCGGGGGGAAAACTATATAGCATATATAGCCAGTTATATTTGAATAAACTTGTAGATATAGCCATGCATACACAAATTGAAGGTGAAATCACGAAGGAAAACAAACTCCATCCTTCAATTTACTAGTGACATGATCAAGCCGTAAGCCAAACTTTTTACTGCAACGCTGAATTGGCTATTGAAGCATAGTGAGCTCTTCTAGTTGGTTTAATAATCAATTCATGGTTGGATTAATGTAATCTAGTTCTCCTTGGATAGGACAACAGCTAGAAGCCTAGAAATATATAATTGAACAGTTCTAAATGCAGTTGTATATCCAAAAATATTCCACACCATAATGTGAAATTGCATGTGTAACTTTGTGTCAAAATAATAATCCACAGTTCCACGCAAATGTCACAGGATATTAGGTGTGGCAACCAACTCATCATTCATTAATAGCAAAAGGATGAAACTAGAATTGGTTGTTCATCAGCAATACTGCTTTACAAAATAATGAGTTTATGGATAACAGTTTATTTCACATTTCACAATAATGAGTCAGGAAAACTATTTTCTTCTATATTGAAAATTGAGTAGTAAACCAAACCAATATGATCAAATGGATCACAAATACAGACTTCACTATTTACAGATAAATAACCTGTTCTGTAATATATGTGTGGCCAAAAAATTGTGAACTTTGGGAGTTCTATAAACATATATAAAAGTATGAAGTTTGCTTGCAGTGGAAAATTTAACATGTTAGGGTCAACAAAATCGTGTTTGATAAGCTCAGGAATAATATCGAATTAAACGTCAAGATGTCATATGGACAGACCTGATCAATTAAATCTGGGTTTGAAAGTCCCCAACCTTTCTTTTGATATGCTTCACGAACTTCCTCGCAGTTATTACAACAGTCCTCATCTGACTGCATACGCAAACATGTGCAAGATTCAGGTAAGCATCAAACTTGTGATGCTGGGAACATTGTAATTAAAGGCACATAAATCCATCATTATGAAACCCAAAAAGGAAAAACTAAGATGTTAGATGAAAGGAAGAAAACTGCAGGGACTTGACTGTTAATGCTGCCTAGTTGAAAACTGCTCATCAGAACAGATATATGGTCCTTTAAATTTTTGGGAGCAAACAATAGCGAAACAAATGCCAGATTTTTTAGTATGCAATGTAGTGAGAACAGTCTCTACTCTCTTCTCTTCTCTCTAGTAATCAATACATAAATAAGGCATTAAATTAGGACATCCTTATTAAGCGTAATTTTAAACCAGGCATACCCCTTCAGCACCATAACACGAACCACAATAAGTCTCATTGTGCTCAAGCCTGCCTCCATGTCTTTGCAAGGGCTTTTCAATCTGAGAAAATAAACAGTTATTTAAAGAAAATGGTCTACAAACGACATAAGCAAGGAAGATGTAATTTCTTAAAACTATAGTTTAAGAAGAAATTCTAGATAAAGCATCACCAGTTTAATCTTAAGAAGGGAAAAACTGAAAAAGAATTGCATCTTAAAGGTAACGAGATAAGTAACTAGTGGTACAAGCTCATTTTCTAAAGAGAAAATTTCATGTTAACATGTTCAGCCAGTCAGGCTTGCTAAAGCTTAATAAGAAGTTTCCTATGTCAACATCAACATCACCTTTATCCCAAACTAGTTGGGATAAGATGTTTCCTACGTGAGAAAAAGAAATTAAAATGAAAAGAACCTGAGTCAAATAACAGCAGTAAGCAACAATCCAATATAAGAACACAACGAATTACAAAAATACTTTTGCTGAAACAAACCTTGGGAGCACCAATTCCGTCTTGCCTTGTTTCTATCACATTGCCATGAGAGTCTAATCTTTTCTTGATTATATCATGTTTCTGAGAGTTACACCAAAAGAAAAATAACAATGTTAGAAACTAGGGAACAGGCAAGAGATCAAAAGGACGAAGGTGAATATGCATTCAAAATATTACAAAGATAAAGTATAACTTGATTACATGTTATATATTACTGCACCAAAACGACTAATTTCGAGGTGCTCAAGCGCGTAATTGAAAATAAGAGTTTATATATATATATATGATACATACTACATCTAGGTGCTGCTCTCCGCTGATGTCCATGGCATCAAGACTGAGTATGGAACATGCTAGTGCAGGAAATGTAACATCAAACTGCACTTTCAACATCAAAAGCACAAGGATCAATAAATTTATATAGCAAACCAACCGAAGCACATTACGATACGCAAATGACGTAACACAAAAATTAAAACAATTATTTGAAAAAAAAAAAAATATACATAAATTGAAGAGTTAATGTTCAAGGGAAAGGAACTCCAAGGAAAGGACATTACATTGATACGCAACGTTTCTCCTCTAGAAGTATCTACAACAAGCTTGGTCTCCGTTGCGGCATGGAGATACAATCCTGAAGGCAGCGGCAAACACAACACAAAAATGAGTTGAAACAGGAGAATATCAAAACGCAAAAAACAATAAAGCAAAACGACGAAACGAAAATGAGGCGTACGAAGCTCGGAGATGAAGAGCAAGAGCATGAGAATGGAGGAAGCGAGGGTGATTACGCCACCGGAGAGCGTGCGGCTGTAGAAGTCCTCGTTGATTTTAGGGTACGCATCCAGATTGCGGAGCTTGCTCATTATGCTGTCCATGCCTCAATCCCTAAAATGGATGATTGTTCCCAAAGATCAACGATCCAAATCGAAGATCTAACCTAACCTCGTTTTTATAATTATGATGATGAAATTTGAATTGTTCTGAGATCAAAAACACCCCGTTCAATCAGAATTCTTTCGCTCTTGAAATTGTAAACGGGGCGTTTCAGAATGAATTCAATTTCCTAGAGTCTCCGAGGCTGCTCTATTATCTTTTGTTTTTGTTTTTTTTTTAACTCGGCGAGCTTTGCTGCTTCTTCTTCTTCTTCTTCTTTTTTAATTTTTAATTTACGGGAAAATAAATAAAACATTCTAAATCTCAATAGATAAATTTAAATATCATATCGTTTTTGCTATTTAACCGGGTCGGTTAGGAGCCTTTTTCCGGTGTCGTCTTTTCTGTTCTTTTTGGATTGGGATCTTTTCTTCGCCTTTCAGTTTCTCTTCGTGTCAACAAAAACCACAAATATTTTAACCTTACTTATTAAAATAGAATGTTTAATTAAGGAGGACTTACTTTCTTTTGGTAAGATAATGTGTTATTTTTTAATTTATATAGATTTTATATAAAAAATAAAAATTGTTCTACTAGAACTATTAAATAGTATTTTTAATTTTCATTTTTTAAATTATTTTAAGTTACTTCATTTTATTTTTTTATTGGTTTTTCATTTCTCTCTTTTTTTAAATTTCTTTTAACTTTTCTATTTTCAACATTTTTAAATAATACAGAAAAATTCAAATAAAAACAAATAATTATTAAATTTTAGATTATTTTTTATGGGACATAATCAAGTTATATCGATTTAAGAAAATTAAATCAAATCTTTTTTTTGTGGGCAATTAAATCAAATCTTAATCATTGATCTATTTTGCATATAATGACACATATATCTTATAAATTAGAGTCAATAAATATAAATAAGATTGATATTTCAGAATGTAAATGTAACTTATATAAATGTAATATAATTATATTTTTTATAAATTATAAGATATAGGTATGTTTAAATACATTTTTTTTCACACTAAAATTATTTTTTGCCAAAGGTCCTCTTTTAAATATTTGATTATAAGCTTTTCAAAATTTTCTAATTAAAATATGTACAAAGGGTCTAAAGATTTCTTATCTGATAAAGTTATCACCTCTTGAATTGTTAATTGACACTCAAATGATAAAATTCATAATAGTCAACAATGGGTCTAAAGATTTCTGGGTTTTTGACCCTTTTGCCCCTAATTAAATAATTAATAACTAATTTGCCCCTCCCCCAGAACTATCCACCATCCTGCCCCCATTTAGTCGATTATGTTGCACTTTTAATCGACTAAATGGGCTAAACTCAGAAATTATGAAACGCGAATTTTAGTCGACTAAAAACTCATCTTAATCGACTAAATTGTTTGCACTTTTAGTCGACTAAGCACATTATTTAGTCGACTAAATGTCGCAGATCAGGTTTTTTAAAAACCCCCCATTTCGCAAAGGGGGTTATTTTCAAACCCTAGTCGACTAAAAGGCTGCATTCCGTCCCCTATCTCCAACCAAGTCCGAATCTCAACCCTTGAAGGTGCGATTGAAGCTTCCTTGGTTCACACTTGCGAAATCGACATTTAGGTAACGTATTCTGACTTGCATTTGGTTTTAAGTTTAGTTTTTATTTTGGTTTTCTTCATGCATTTGATTTATGTTTGCGGTTTTGTGGATTTAGGTTAGGGGTAGGGTGCTAAGTGTGTTGTGAGGGTGAGGGTTAGGGTTGATGTGGTGCCTCAGGCGTAGGGTTAGGGTTATGTTAGGGTTAGGGTTAGGGTTTACGTTGCTGTTTTGGTTGGGTTGTAGTGTTTAGGGTTAGGAATGGGTTTTTGTGTTTTGTTTTAGGGTGTAGGGTTAGGGTTAGGGTTAGGGTTAGGGTTATGGTTTCTGTTTCTGTTTTAGGGTTAGGGATTGGGTTTCTGATTTCTGTTTTATTTTAGGATTAGATTTTGTTTTTTATATTGAATTTTAAATTTTTTGATATTGTTATTGTTCATTGATTTTTGTTTCCACTTGCATTGTAGGTACAGTTGTTCCCATGGCTGGCCGTAGAAGATCGTCTAGCACTGGAAATGAGAGACGACAAAAGCTACGATAAGACCATCCGTCTTCGTCAAGGCCACAAGAGGAAGACCCCGCTGCTGTGGACCTCCCATTCGGATACTTTTACCCCAAACCGTTTGTTTACGCTCCCCGAAACTTGGTGATTTCATTTTTTGGTAATACTAGTATTAGTTATGAGTTTCAATCTATCAATATGGACCAATGTTAGATAATGGACTTAGAAATGAAATGTCAAATTACATAATTACTTAAACAGTAACACAAAATAACATCACAATGTCTTACAAAAAATACATGAACTCTTACAAAAGACCTTAAATACATGCACAACATTGCTTCAGCTAAGATTAATCCTCATAGGACATGTACGTTTATTGTGACCAATTTGCTTGCAGGTGCTGCATCTAGTTTGACTGCTTGTGGGGTGGGACTCAACCCAATCCATTTCATTCTGTATCCTTGAAGACTTCGGTCTTCCTTGTGCACGAACCAAAGATGCATTTGGGATTAATGTTGGACCATCTATTTCTGGGATCAACAACTCATTACCCATTGGAAACCAATGTGCAGCATAGACCTTCTCAATTTGTGTAATTGAGAACACAGGATCGACATAGTCATAGTGGTTCAATTTTTCAACCTTGCACACCGCTAGCACATGACTGCAAGGAAATCGTCTAGCTGTGAACCGTCCACATTGACATTTACGATTTAGCAAGTCAACCCTCATAGTGTGGGCTGTCGTTCCAAAATGGCTCAATCTCAGACCCTACGTCCAAATTTAAACTTATCCGTCAGTACGAAAGAAAACACAAATATATATATATGCAAAATTAAAACTTTATATTACAATCTTACCACTGCTAACAGGGTCAACACGAAGCGGTGGCATAACCTGGGAACTCAAGTTTCCTGAACTAATATCAGCGTCAAAATTCCCCTCTACGTCCGTATCTGAGGTGTCACCCAGCGGAATAACACTCTCGGGTTCACCATCGTCTTCACTGTCCATATCCTCGTCATGCCCATCCTCATCCTCGTCTATTTCCCTCAATGGTATCTGACTTAAGACAGGTGCAGGTGCAGATAAACCGACCACTCTGTCTTCTTGACTTTGACTTCTTCCATGCACAAGTGCAGATGAAGATTGACCACAGTCTATTTCAACATATATCTCAATAAAGTTTTGAAATTTTCGGTCCACAATTGCATCTATGACACAATCCACATCTTCATCGTCACATATATCATTACAATGTAGAATATAGCATCCTTACCAACTGTAGACTCTACCCTGGCGATCATCCGTTGAACGCCATGGCTCCCGTGTAGCCCCAATTTTTGGTTAATCCTCCCTTTCAACTCATTGTACGTAGTGCGCCGTTTGATTTTCAACATTTTCGTTTTTCCTTCAAATTGAACACTGTTGGGGTCTTCATAATGCTTTCCATCATAGTAAATCATGGTAACATACATGTTTGGACTTGAGCTCATCTTTCACACGAATTTTGGGGGTAGGAATCGGATTTTAGGGTTTTGGGTTCGGATTTGGGGGAAAAAATTGAGAAATAAAGGAAAATGACAATGATTTCACAATTACTATGCCTTAGAGGTGGTGTGATGAAATGGAAGGGTGATTGGAAGGTTCACAGCTGACAAACAAGAGAAAGAGACCAAGGGAGGAGTTTTACATTCGAATATAATGAAAATGAGACCAAGAGAGGTCTGGATATAGGGTTTTTCGCGATCTTTAGTCGACTAAATAGTCGACTAAAAGTGCAAACAATTTAGTCGATTAAGATGAGTTTTTAGTCGACTAAAATTCGCGTTTCATAATTTCTGAGTTTAGCCTATTTAGTCGATTAAAAGTGCAACATAATCGACTAAATGGGGGCAGGATGGTGGATAGTTCTGGGGGAGGGGCAAATTGGTTATTAATTATTTAATTAGGGGCAAAAGGGTCAAAAACCCAAAGATTTCTTATTTGGAAGTTTTTTAAACTGAATTTCTGTCATAATTAAACAAGCATGAGCTTAAAAAAAAAAACATGAAATGATAATTTTTTTTTTTTGGTTAAAGAAATGATAATCTTTTGTTACTCTTTAGACTGAATATAAGATAAAATTTGAAAAAATATTTATTATTTATAAAAATATATCTTTTGTGTGATTTTAAATATAGAAGTGAATATTAAATCTCTTGGCATATCTACTAAAATAAAATTAGGCCTAAAACATAAAAAAAAAATTTAGCCTAAAACAAATACAAACAATTCAATAGTTTGTTTTCATTTATTATCGTTTATTTTAGTTCAATTTAGAAGTTTTTTTTTTTTTTAGTTTCCCTATTCATCCTTCTGATTATATCTAGTTGGAACATTTGTCAGACCCTATTAAAGGGAATAACTCTTTCAATTTTTTTTTTTTATTTCTAGGGATCAAATTCAAAATCTTTGATTAAGGAGCCCAAATTCCTTAACATTTGTGCCAAAAGTATTTGGTGAAGTAGCTTGTTTTTGTTCTTTATTTTTACGGGCTTCGATCGACTTGTGTACAAAGTAATTGATCATGAAGTTTTTCGGTTTTGTTTTTTTGGTCAAAGCTGAAGGTGAATAGGCCCAAATACCTAAAAGAGGACGCAACCATTTGAAACCTCAAACTATATTTCGGGCCAAAAAATTGGACTCGTCATCCATCCTTAGCCTCCCCTTAAAAAACCTAAATCCTTGTTCGAAAAGCCAATTTATCATGACAAAAGTTTTAAAAAAAAACTGACTTCGAAAGTTTAATGCATACGGAAACTTAAATGGTCAAAAGAAAAAAGGTGATTTTTAAAATAATACACTCATCCATCATATAAAACGAGCTTAGTGCAAAATTTGCGGATATCTTACCGTGAAAACTATCATTTTCGCAGGAAATTCTTTTTCCGGAAGCCTTATAACATCATGGATTTGGCCGGGAAGGATCTCCAGCAACGGTGATGACTATAGCAACGCGAATAGCTCGTTAAGAACCACCTGAAGTCTCTGGGGAAGTTGGAATGAAATTAAATGAAAATAAGAATGAGACATTCCTATTTTTGGTAATGTAATGGAACATTATTTCTTATAATTGTAGAAATAAAT